TATACCCGCAAATACCCGGTATTTTGCCGATTTTGCCGATTTTGCCACCAAGAAGGCACTCCGACTCGCTTTGCTTTCCGTGAGGCAACTGGTATCCCGTACCACTTTTTGATTAGTGCAGGCCTTGGGGTTGATTAGCCAAAAACTCCCATACCGGTAAAGTTTGAGCTCTGGCAGACAGGGTTGCCAGGTGAGAGCGAATGGCGCGGTTCACGCCTCGCACAACAGAGTTAAACCGACGCAGTACACAAAGGTTACAAACAAAGGTATACCAAACAACTCTAACACTCACACGTCCTTTGGGGCCTGGAGCCCTGTTCACGCTTAAGGTTAGGAGAGAGAGATGTGTTTGAAGGTTAGGTAGGAAGGTGAATCAAGAACAGCCAGGCTCGGACTGGACACCAACACACAACAAACAAAAATCTCAAAAACATGGGCTCCAGGCCCCAAATGACGTGTGAGTGTTAGAGTTGTTTGGTATTGCTAAAAATCTCTCTCTCTCTCAACACTGAACAACACACAAAAAGGCAAAAATAGGTAGCTAGAAAGGTGAAGAACAGCCAGGCTCGGACTGGACACCAACGCGGTATGGGTGGACGCTGGACAGATGATGTCGACACGCACGAGCGACACACAGACACAAACAGGAAGACACAAGACACACAGCCCAGGGAAAAAAAACAAGGCGAGGCGCTGTCACGGTCGTCCGGATCTTTGAGCACTTCCGCGTCTCCCTCCTCGCAACCGCAGCTTGCAACCAGCTTGCCAACCGAAATGGCCGAACCCGATCGCCCTCCCATCAGTGAACCACGCTCTCGACAGAACGCTGCCGTCGCTCGGTCGGCGCAGCGCAAGCAAGCCAGGCCCGCCGGGCCGCCGCAAGACCGCCGCTCCGTCGGCGACGTCACGACCGCAGGCCGGCCGCCGAAGGCGAGCGCGGCGCAGAGCGGCGCGAAGCAGCTGCCTCCGAGCCGCCTCTCCGTCGGCGATGTGACCAAGAAGCCGCCGCCGCTGTCTCGCTCGCGCACCGAGGCTCTCGCAGAAGAGCAGCGCCGCCACGGCCGGTTCGCCACTGGGCAGATCATTCGCCACAGCCAGGCGACCGACGCCGAAGTTGGCGTATCCCGGCTCTCAGTCGGAGACGTCGTGCCGCGCGCTGCGGCGCGGGCCTCTCGCGGCCGGCGCTGGTCCCGCCGCTTCCTCATCGCTGTCCTTGC